TAAATCATTTATATATATTATAAACAACAGAGGTCCTAGGACAGAGCCTTGAGGCACTCCACTAACAACATTATCCCAGTCTGACTTAACCCCATTTATACTAACTCTCTGTTTCCTTTGGTATAGCCATGCCCTAATCCAGCTTAATATAGCACCCCCAATACCACGAGCCTCTATTTTTTCAATCAGTCTTTCAAGTGGCACTGTATCAAAAGCTTTGCTAAACAAACATTACCGCTTTCAACTGCCTCAAAAAAAAAAAATGTAAAAAGTTGAGGCAGCTGAACGGCCATTTGTAAAACCATGTTGTGAATCATTTATTAATTTTATTAATTTATGTTTTTCAAGATGAAGACGAATGGTATTTGCAATTATCAATTCAAGTAACTTTCCCACAATAGACGTTAGGCTAATATTGATCGATAGTTTGACGCAAGTGATCTATCTCCTTTCTTAAAAAATTGGCACCACATTAGCAACCTTCCATGACTCTGGCACTCTGCCTGACTCTATTGATTTATTAAATTAAATCCTGGGCAGGACAGAAATGGTTGGGCATATTTCCTTTCGCCTAATGGCGAAAGGTTCACCTAGCAGAAAATAGTTTTTGTGGGGTTGAATCATGGGGTCGGTAATTTGACCTGGTGGGGGGGGGGGGGCGATAGAAGCCAAACGTGTATGAACACACTCTGGCTTCCTGTCCCCCAACACAATGAATTAAATTCAAATTAAAATACCGGAACCGGAAATGCTTGGGTGTCGTCCCATGCATGAGTGAGCACACCACAGTCAAGTGATACAGGGAGGCGAGTCTCAGTGTGGATGCTTCACCGTCCACACAAGAACAATATTGGACAATGACGCTGATATTTGTTTATCTTTAACACGTTTTTTGCACATATTTTGAACGTTTAAGAATGATTCAACGTTAATTCAGCAATGATTAACGTTGATTCATTGCTTTATATATAATTATTATTATTATATATAATAATATATACCCAATATATGAAGGTGAAGCCCCACCTTCCCACAGTGGGCGGGGGTGTGGGTGTACTGGGAGCCCCACCTTCACACAGTGGGCGGGGGTGTGGGTGTACTGGGAGCCCCACCTTCACACAGTGGGTGGGGGTGTGGGTGTACTGGGAGCCCCACCTTCACACAGTGGGCGGGGGTGTGGGTGTACTGGGAGCCCCACCTTCACACACACAGTGGGCGGGGGTGTGGGTGTACTGGGAGCCCCACCTTCACACACAGTGGGTGGGAGTGTGGGTGTACTGGGAGCCCCACCTTCACACAGTGGGTGGGAGTGTGGGTGTACTGGGAGCCCCACCTTCACACAGTGGATGGGGGTGTGGGTGTACTGGGAGCCCCACCTTCACACACAGTGGGCGGGGGTGTGGGTGTACTGGGAGCCCCACCTTCACACAGTGGATGGGGGTGTGGGTGTACTGGGAGCCCCACCTTCACACACAGTGGGCGGGGGTGTTGGTGTACTGGGGGCCCCACCTTCACACAGTGGGTGGGAGTGTGGGTGTACTGGGAGCCCCACCTTCACACACAGTGGGCGGGGGTGTGGGTGTACTGGGAGCCCAACCTTCACACACAGTGGGCGGGGGTGTGGGTGTATTGGGAGCCCCACCTTCCCACAGTGGGCGGGCGTGCGGGTGTACTGGGGGCCCCACCTTCACACAGTGGGCGGGGGTGTGGGTGTACTGGGAGCCCCATCTCCACACACACACACACACAGTGGGCGGGAGTGTGGGTGTACTTGGCGCCCCACCTTCACACACAATGGGCGGGAGTGTGGGTGTACTGGGAGCTCCACCTTCAAACACAGTGGGCGGGAGTGTGGGTGTACTGGGGGCCCCACCTTCACACAGTGGGCGGGAGTGTGGGTGTACTGGGAGCCCCACCTTCACACACAGTGGGCGGGAGTAGGTGCACTATGAACCTTACCTTTGCACAGTGTGTGTGTGACAGCTGCCGCCCACATAATGCTTGTGGAAGGTGGACACGCCAGATACACCCCTTTCAGGGCCACCATGCTTCATATCCTGCCATTACCCCCCACCCCTCTGTAACCGCCCCCCTCCACTCCTGTCATGTGACCATTCATTTTGTCGAGGACAGGAAGCCTGTGCACATGTACACTCCAGGTACACGCTTGTATCGAGGTACCACCAAGGTCGGGCTACTGACCCTCCCCAGGATGAAACCCCACAACAGTTGGCAAACTCCTGAGTTACATATTTACTGTTAGGTAAACAGAGGCATTAGGTAAAAGGATACGTGCCCGACCATGTGTCCTACCCCAACCCGTCCTCGACTCAAGTCCATTACATTCAGCGGTCAACCCCACAGACGCATTCTTAAATTTTAACATGCTGTTCATTCAAAAGAGGAATTTTCGCAAATGTAAATTAATATTATAATATATTAGCATATTGTGTATATATAGGCATAAGATAAGTTAGGTTAGGTGTTTAGGTTCTGTTGGAGAATATTTGTATTTGTAGTACGTGGGTGAAGCATTTATAGCGTTGTGATTCGAACAAAATTCGTCAGTGAAGCACTTGTTCCGGATATGTTCGAACGTCAGCAGTTGTGAGTCGTGTGTAAACCGCTTTTCATTCATAAACAGGGGGTTTGGCGGGTGCATGGAATCACTTTTGGATCTTTGTTTGGAGGACGGGCTGCCTACCCAGGAATCTAACTTTGGATCTTTGATTGTAAGTCGAGAACGAAGCCTTACTCTTTAATAAACATGCAGTCATGATCCTTGAATACTTAAAACTGGTCACTATGTAGTAATAATTTGTTGTTTTTATATAAAATACGAGACGTAATAGTGAATACCTAGTATTTATATTTTTTATAAAGCCACCAATTACAATGCAGATGAAGCAGCACAAATGATAGCTAGAGGGGTAATGTAGCCATTAACATGTCTAGTGCAGTTAACCTTTACATTGCTCAAATTACCCCAAGCGATTTTTCCCCATTTGCTTTAACTAGCTTGTTCATGTGCATCTCAATGTAGTAACAGATGCATATATATAGATTAGCAGTTTAGATATTTTTATATTATATATATATAATATATATATATATATATATATTATATAATATATATATATATTAGATTAGATTAAAACTAAAGCAATGCAGTGTGTAGAGATCATACTGTGCAGGTGCAACATTAATTAAAATCTGCAGAAATGTTTTGTATAAGACTAAATTGTTATCTAGCCCAAGTATAAGTCAAATGCTGACTAAAGTTAATTTTATTGTCAGTACATGACTCAAGCAGCAGATAAGCAACTGCAACAGTATGAATTTCTTGTTAGGTCTATGTAATGTTGGGTAGTTTTTTTTTGGTTATGTTGATATATGGTTTAAAAGCAGGACGTCATTAAGTATTAGCTTTGAGTAATAGCTTGAAACATTGTCAAGTGGACCAGTAGTCACATACCTATCTAGATTTTAATATAGTATTTGTGAACCCTACCTACAGCCCTTTGTTTTGACAACAGGCTGCATCAATTCCATCAAGTATGAACCAATATGTTGCAAGGTCACATCCCACCAGATACAGTACTAGTAAACACAGCAGCCTGGAACACCACAAGGGTCTTGGGGATCCTGGTATTTTGTGAGAGGTATTAAGTCATGTGAATGTATTAATGGTGTTGGATCGAATTGTGTATGGAAGTAGAAAAGAAATTCCTCAACATACAGATACTACTCTTTGACCATAAAGGCAATCTTTGAATTACGAAAGGACTTTAGCTCTTTGATGTGATACATGAATTTGCTCCAATGTCCCTTGTAATACAAAGTGCGACTTTCACACACGTGGCTGGTGTCAGGTCGCGTACATTACCCTCTGCACCGAACACCTGTTTTTGGCAAAAACTTCTAAGTGCAATTGTTACGGACATATTTTGTTTTTGTTTTTATAGATGTTCAGTTAAAGTTAATGTCAAAATGTTTCCAAAGTAAACTATTTTCTTTCCAAAACACAAAGAGTAATCAAAACATTACAATGTAGCCTAATCAAAAATAAAAACTGACAACTCTCAAAACATTTGTTGGCCGGCACAGTTGAGGGGTTAAATAAGACTGCAGCTGCATGTAACAGTTTGGTTGACCAGACCACCAACCAGGAGGTCTGGACAGAGACTGGGCCATGGGGGACATTGATACTTGCAACAATCACAATGTACCCATGGCCACAGGTGTCATACTTCCAACTGCCTAGTCACCAGTCCTCTAGTGCTCAATTTTCAACCCTTGATGCTTTGGTAATTTTTTAGCCATTTACAGGAAAATACCAATAATAATGGCCGATAGATGTACTGTAATGTCTGAGGCAACATTACTTTGCAAAATGCAATCCATTACCCCAGAAACAAAGTTAAAGAGATAATCACTGAGAATGGAGTAGCACCAACACAGATTGTGTGCCTATTTGGCATTCATTGGGTTCATAATCACACACAACACTTTTTTTATGTAAAGTGTTCTGCAAGAGTGAAATTGCCGATAAAATTATGTCTAGTAATTTGTGACGTAAAAGCTACTAATACTCTACTGTGGACTATAAGCACCTCAAAATTCTTTGTTAACCTAAGGCTCATCCAGAAGAAACAGTAGTGTTAGACAAAAAAAATTGTTGGCAGTTCAAAATTTAAGACTATTACACCTATTCACACTTCAAAATTTTCCAACTCTGACAAGCATGACAAATCCATCATTCAAGATGAATAATATGCAGTGTTTATATTGTCTAAAGACAGGTATAGTTGCAAACATCTTTTAGGAACACTCACTTATAAGGGCAAAGCTGCACACATTTATCCTCAAAACCTCGTGAAAATAGATCAGTATCAAGAAACGTTCACTGCGAGTATTTACTGTGGTTATGAGACTTCTCTCGGAGAAAACATGTTTTGCTCAAACATTATAACATGTAGGAATAAAATATAAAAAAATAATGAACATGATATTCAAAGTTTATTGTATATTCACAAAGTTAATGATACTTTAAAAGAACTGATAGAAGCTGAAGTCCTTTGAGCCCTATTTATGGTAAAATACTAGATTTTAAGCACACAAGACATCAGCGTAAAATAGGGGTCATTATGTTTATTTTTTTCAAGACTTTCACCATACTAGCTAGGCACTTGCACCTATCTGTATCCTATCTGCCAGAAATATGGCATTTACCATAAATTACTAAAAACTACTTTACATGATCTTTTTCCAACTTAAAATCTGGGTGTGCATTATTCACCAATGCAAATGGACAAACAAATCAGCACAGTTTACCAGGAAATGACTAAGAATGAAAATGACATTATTAAACAATGAACAAATATTGAGGCCATGCGGCAATTTAGCCTGCACCTCCTGCTCACATCTGATACACAATGGTGTGTACACCCGACATGGCCAGGGGCGCGAGTTCCATTTCATCATACAGCTTCAATGCTTATTCAACTCTAATGCTTCAATAACTGAAATTAAAAGCCAGTGCTCAATGAAAATTAAAAAAAAAAAAAGTATTGACCAATACGTTAAAAATAAGAAAAAATCTGTAAAAAATTAAGCATCATAATACTGAACGTCTTTATCAGCCTCAAGAGGTTAGAGGAGTTGCCTGATCATCTTTCGTATCTGGCTGGATAATTTGCCACAATAACTAAATCAAATTTAAGAGAAGAGGTTGCATTATTAAAGGAGATTGGAACACACCACGACACAAGCTACCTACAAGCTACAGGGCTCACTGGACTTAGCGAAATTGCATTATTATGTAATAAAACAAATTATAAGCCATTTGAAACATGGCAACTAAAAATTCCCTTGATAACTAGATAATTGCAACATGTAATAATCACAATAAAATGTACCACATTGAATTATTAAAAAATTATTTTACAAGACTTATCCACATACAATACCTAAACAACTTTTCAAATTTGATGAAAATAGATTTGAAATATGGACGATGCATAAATGATTAATTTGTATTAACTGTACTTAAAATTAGATTATACTGGGTAATTACTTTTTCTATCAAAACAGGAAACTGACACGCATAATTCTGTTTGGAGCTCAATCCAAATATAATCTTGTCTTTTAAAACTAATTACCTGTAGATTACTGTATTTCATATACAATACTTTGCAAACTACAGCAAGTCTTAAATAAAAATATGCACTGTAATCTATATACAGATACTGTAACTTTACCCTTTCTGACTTTATAGGTAATTAGAAAGAAATTTTGGGTCAAGGGTCAGCATTACATTTGCAATCATCTTTGATAAATATTGACAATCTTCATCATTTTTATGCCAGAAGAGATCACAGTGCAGGTCTGGGAAGCCGTCCAGGTAGCCAGCTTGTAGTTGCGACATCACCAGTTGAAACAGGTGATGCATACCTTGCCCTAAAATGTTAAAAACCATTTATTGCAACTAGTCTTATTGCACACTTTGGGGTCGGGAGTATTAAACAGTATACAAGATTTTCTTTCTTGATAGAAATGTTTTTCAAAAACATTTCTAGCCATCAAAAAATTTCTAAGCTAAATTTTATTTTAATGTATTCCTAATTGAAAGCTGCTATATTCATAATGGGTATAAATATGCAGTATGAACATGAAATAATTTGAACACTTATTTATACTATAACATCTAATGATACCTTATATTAATGAGAAAAAAAAAAAAAAGTTTAGAGTGTAAAGTTTGAGTTTTATAAAAGCATAAGAATATAGGAAACTGCAGAAGACCTACTCGCCCTTGTGAAACCCTTCCCCATTTATATCCTACCAAATGCACTTGTACACAGTACATTACACTGTGCCAAACCCACCCATCTGAAAGTAAAGTGATGACATTTCATGCCATCCTGGGCAGTACACGCGAAGAAGCGATGGATCATTGAGTGCAAGTTTAAATGTTTTTAAGAAAAAGAAATTGCATGGCAGATGACAGAAGTCATGTAGTGCTAAAGACATGAATGACGTACAATCGACTAGTACCTTAGTACTTTTACTGGATTTCGGAATGCAAAACAGTTTCTGTTCTGCCCAGGAACTGAACCCATCCCACAGTTGTGAGCAGAGGATGAAGGAGCAAGGGTAGAACTTGTGCACTTCAAATCACAACATATGTAGAGCTGGGTATAAAGTGGTTTGTGAACAAATTATTGCAACAAACCATAAAACATTTAAGTGTTAATACTTACAGGGTGTGAGGTGGCTGAAAGATGTAATGTTCCCCAAGGCAACTCGCTTAAGATGTGCAGTCTTGAAACCATACTTGCTCTTCCACCGTTGACCAGAAAGAATTAACTTTGCTAAAATTACTGCATTACGCAGGTCTGTAATATTAATACAAACTTTAGTACAGTTTATTAAATTTATTTGTACAAGTATACAAGGCCTATAGATTATATACAACTGTAGATTTAGTAATTTTTTCACAGCGAGTGGTTTGTCCTTGACTAATTACTATATAACAAAGTGTAAGGGCAGGAAAATTAACAGAGCCTAATTTTTCTTCTTTTAATTCCCATTGTTGGAGAGAGGTAGCCGGTACTTTATCTTCTCAAGACCTGCTTAAGCCCACTGCTGACATTCCATCTGGAAGGTCAGGAAGCTGGAGAAAGTTCAGAGGTATGGCACTAGGCTAGTCCCAGAATTAAGAGGCACAAGTTACTAGGAACGGCTGTGTGAAATGCACTTCGACACGGGAAGACAGAAGAGCGAGGGGACACACGATCACTACCCACAAAATTCTCAGAAGAATTGACAGGGTGATAAGGATAAACTGTTTAACACGGGTGGTACGCAAACAAGGGAACAGGTGGAAGCCGAGTACCCAAACGAGCCACAAGGACATTAGAACTTTCAGTGTCAGGGTAGTTAACAGATGGAATGAATGAGGCAGTGATGTGTTGGAGGCAGACTCCATAGTTTCAAATGTTGATATAAGAGCCCAGTAGGCTCAGGAATCTGTACACCAGTCTATTGACAGTCTAGAGGCAGGACCAAAGAGCCAGAGCTCGATCCTCACAAGCACAACTAGACGAGTACCAGATGCAACTCACAATACATATCTAACCCCTGGGTACATATTTACTGCTAGGTGAATGAAACACTTAAGACAATTGGCATGCCCTTCAAGGAGTCCTGGACAAAAGTTTATGCAGCAACACTTGGCAAATGAAATATAATGTGAATAAATACCTAGTTATAGAATGTGGAATAGGAGAAAACAGGCCACACACAACTTGAAAATTATGTGTAAAAGCTTTTTTTTTTAAAAGCGCTAGGGATGGTCCTGGATAATAACCGTTACCTGACGATGACACAGAATATTGTGTATGGAGCATATCAATGCTTTCCAACTTTATAATCACTTTAAATTCACAGAATGGCAAAATATAACAACTATGCATGACCTTTGTGTGACCAAGGTTGGAATTTGCAGCAGTTGTGTGGTGCCCATATCTTAAGTAGTACATCACTAGTAAAAAAAAAAAAAAATAAAAAAAAAAAAAATGGGAAAACATGCAACTAAATTCTTTCCAGAACTGTAAAACTAGCTGCGAGGCTAGGTTTGTGGTGTTAAATATACCAACGTCAAGAAAAAAAAAGAAGTGGCGATATAACTACATACGTAATAGTGACAGGAATTGTTATTACATAGTAAAATAGTCTACCAAATTGAGAAAAGAATGTTCTTGAAGTTTGTTTTCAACAAGAGGACATGGGTTCAAATTAAAGAGTAGCTGCCCTATTACAGGGTTCTTTTGCTCAAACTATGGCATCAAACTGAAACTTTGAAAAACGAACATCGTATTTTCCGTAAAAATACGATACTTAATATGTAAACTTTTTAAAAACTACAGATTTTTCTTTTAATAAATATTACTCACCTTCATTTTTTATAAAAAATTCCTTTTCTAATAGAGAATAATTTGAAGTGAGTGAGAAAGGAGATGTAGACACTGCACCAAAGAGGGAATAGAGTACTGCAGAGTTTCCAGATGCTTCAATATCGGTGATCGTCCTCTGTAATTCAGGTTCCAGATTTGCCCACGACACTACTCCGTCTGTCTTTTTCCACGTGTTCCCTGTTTCACACACATTGCAAACAATTTGCTTTATATCTTGCACTCTATATATTATTAAGATACACAAACTTTCACAAGAAATATCAAATAAGACTCAATCCACAATAGCACAGATGACATTTCCCTTGGATTGTAGGAAATTCAAACTCGGAGCCTCGAAAGTTAATGTCCTACCAACCAGACCAAGAATACTCACAATAAGGATCTCCGAAGTACCTACACAGTGAAGGAAGGTTTTAAGTCTCGGTTGGATACTTCAGAGATTCTTGCAGAGAGTATCTTTGGCAAAGTTAGAAGTCTCTTACTTTTGAGGCCTGAGTCAAGATCCAAGTGAATGAAGTGAAATGTACAATAAATTGCTGAAAAAAAAGTTTTACTATAGTAAAACTTTTCTGAATGAATGGCTGAATGAAATTCAGCCATTTTATTTTTACATTCTTGCAAAGTCATCAACACAGCATTTCAAGGAAAGAAAGTAATACAATTTACCCATGATCTGTGGAATGACATCAACAATGTATTGTGTTCCATTGTCTTCCTCATCTTTCAGGCAGGCCCTAACTGTTTGCTTCCAAACATGCACTCGGGCCACCTTCATCTGTGTTATTGTTGCACCTTCTAATGCCGATCGTACACTATGAAAACGAAAAGAATGACGTAAGAACCTTATACAATGTTTTCAAGTGAAACTACATTAGTAACATACTGTACTTCAAGGCCAATGCAAACCCTGAAAACATTACACAGAAATCACAACAGCGTGATGCATCAAATGAACACATCCACAAGGGTCGTGACGAGGGTTCAAACCCTCGTCACGTCCCTTGTGCATTTGTTCCCGAAAACATTAATAATTTTTTTTAGGCTCTTATGTGATGCAGTGGTTAGTGGAGTTGGCTTGCAACCACTTGATCCCAAAGGATAATCTTAAGAAATATAACATGTCATCTGAAAACTTTCCTGCATGATATAGAACAGTACTATTGTATATTGTAATTTGATTATTCAGACATAAAACACGACTGTAAATGCTCAAATGAACACAATGCACATTAGTACCTACCATGAATTCACATGGTTTCGGAGATCGGTTGTAGCAAGATATCCCTTCTCGGTGACATAGCGTGGTTTGCCTCCCTTCCATTTCTGTTTATTCCACTGCATAAAGTATCTTCCATGCGCTTCATGCACAAACTAAGGGAAATTAAAAACATTGCACATGTCTTACACACATTTAATTTTACAAACTTGGGCATAAATCTTAATGAAGACATTGTAACCTCTATTATCGAGGTAAATTTGTTCCTTCAGATGTCCAGATAACTATAAATATGGGTAATAAAATTTGTATCCCTATTCCACTCTCCCTTTCCCCCCATTATGGACAAATTTTAAATTTTAACATACAGGATGTACATCTTCCAGAAAAACCTATCTAGAAGATTTTACCTTATTTGGCTCATTTCATCTCAGGCTCAACTTTGACACACTGTACTCCCCATCATATAGTCTAGGGTAGCTGCACAAATGCAGATGAACCTAAATGTGTTAATAATAATAATAATAATAATAATAATAATAATAAAAATCAACCTTAAAACCTTGGGACCCAAAGCTGGCAATACTAGCCCCGTCAACTGCCAAACCAGAAGCAATCAAGGAAGTCAGCAGAAAATTGGCCTTACTGTCCAAGATGCTCAAAATCCTTATAAAACAGCAGGCGACCTTCAGCAGTGTTACCTGCTGTAGACGAGCCTATATAACTTATCGTAGAGCACAATAACACTTAATGGTTACTGCCACACAAGTCTTGACTTGAAACCCAAGTGCAACACTGACAAACAGCAGCTGACATGTCACCTCAACCACTTGTCATTTGGTTACTATGAACCACATTCTCCAATTCAGATAGCCACTACATCTAAATTATATGTACAATTTTTTGTTTTGTGCAACTGGAGGTATACAGGAAACTGTTCAGCATAAGATGATGGTTAACCAATAATATCAAGAAAACAGTAAATACTCAATCTCACACTAGAAGCCACAAGTCCTATGGCTTCAATGACTGAACTGCTGTCATTGTCTTTATTGGATTATTATTTCGTGACTTGCCCATAGAAGGAATCAAACCGAAGGCAGAAAGACCTGATGGCAACCACTTTTGCAGGAACCCCCCCCCCCTCCAGTGCTCTTTGAGAATAAACTCATTACCCTTGTCATTCAGAACACAAGCCTTAAGAGGAAGCAATTTGCTGGACTGGGTCTTAATCCTTTCAGTTCCAAAATTAGGACCGAAACCAAGAGGGAACCGAAAGTGCCAACGACTCTAGGTAACAAAATAATGCAGAGAAACCATTAAAGGGCCTCAAAGACATTAGACACCAAAGGAAATACAACACAGACTCTACAATGCCAGTTTGATCAGTCTAGCTAGAGTAGATGCACTGGCCCCCTCCTTTCCCTTAAGGTACCAAAGCCCCAGGGTAGTTTTAACATTCAGATGAAAGGAAACAGTATCCATAATGTTATGCATGGAAAGTCCTATTTATTGACCAAATACAACTGTAAACAAAGTACATTTGGGCCAAAATGCTATGCGTGTTAGTGGCTTTGCAAGTATGCAAGAACATCAATGTATGTGCTCTCAAACCCAATGTACCTTCTTGTATATAAATAAATAAAATATTATAAAGCACACAAGCCCTGTCATATCATGGTTGCTCCCAAGCAGGGACATAGGCAGGGACTGGAGAGAGGTAGAGCGAGAGTGACGAGGGTCACCACACTTGACCTGAGGAAACAAAGCTCATCCATACAAAATATGTTGCCCATTTAGAAACTTATTCCAATAGTCTACAAGATATTAATTATAGCAAATGTTTTCAGTCCCCATTGTTGGGGGACAGGGAAGCTTGTTAGGGTAATCAAGGCCTCTAGTCAAGACTCATTTAATACTGATGAATGTTGTCATTATTATATACGAGAAGCTCTTCCTGAAATTAGGCCCTTTAGTTAAACATTTTTATAATACAGTACCTACATCGAGTCAAAAGTTTGCAAACAAAGAGATTCTGTATTTTCTGGTGGATAAAACTCATTGTTATGACATTATATTTAAGTGCAAGACAGTAATAAGGAAGCCATGCTTTAAAATCACTCAGTATATGTATGAAACATACTAAACTTATTTTTCCCATAAAATACCTTTGTAAAATTGTAGTGCATCTTAATGGAGCTGCATCTCGTACACCGAAAAATGAGATAATTGCACAACTTTCATATACTGTATAAAAGAGCACTTGTATAAACATTTACAGTACTGTACATCTAAGAGAGGTAATACTCTGCATAACTAACCTTGAAATACTCTGGCGTGTAAGGAGGACCAAGAATTAAAAGAATATCTTTGTCATCTTTGGAAGAAGTCACAAGGCCCTCAGCTGCACTGCCAACTAATTGAAATTTAGCTTCACTGAGAAATGATGCAGACTTCAAGTCAAACTTGGATTGCAAGTACTGGATAACTTGTGTGGCAACCTACAATTTGTAAGTGGAGAAGACAATATTAATGGCAAACATTATAGAGGTAAAATATTCTGTACATGTAAATACAAGTAAAATCACAAGAAACAATTCCATCAACACTAAGGGACTAAGACTTTTTTTTAACACTCCCTCTAAGCATAAGGGGCATAACTTGCCGCCTCTCACGGTTTTCAAGATAGAACTTGATACCTGCGTGATGCGGTTCTGGGAGTTATTCTACTCCCCAAGCCCGGCCCGAGGCCAGGCTTGACTTGTGAGAGTTTGATCCACCAGGATGTTGCTTGGAGCGGCCTGCAGGCCCACATACCCACCACAGCCCAGATGGTTCTGCACTCCTTAAAGAAAACTATCTACAGGCATACCTCAGAATAAGAGTTTAATCCGTTCCTGGAGACGCCTCGCCTTCCGAAAACTCGCATTCCGAAGTTAATTTCCCCATAAGAAATAAAGGGAAATGAATTAATCCGTTCCTGACTACCCCAAAAACCCCACATCAAACTAAATTTTTATACCTAATTTACCTAATTCACCTAAATAAACCTACAAAACTGTGTTCCAGTTATTACTTACCTTGCTGTCGAGTGCTGTAGGCGTATGGAAGATGGTGAGGAGGGGGGAGGAGGAGAGGAGTTACTGTTTGGAAGGGGAGTCCCCTTCCATAATCACATCACATAACCCCATGCCTTGTAACACTATGGATACCACTTCTCTTTCTAAAGTTTTCAAACCAGCCCCTGCTTGCCTTAAACTCTTTCTTATCTGCATCACTCGTTGCAGGGGTATTCTTTAGAAGGTCTTCGTGCAACACCCTGGCTTTCTCACAAATAATGGCCTCCGAAACACTATCACCCCTCAACTCCTTGTCGTGTATCCAAATTAATAACTTTTCCACTTCTTCAAGTATTTGTGGTCTTTGTGCCGTTAATGTTCTTACTCCTTTTGCCACTTTAGCACCCATAATCTTATTTTTCTTCTTAAGTATAGTGCATATTGTTGATGTGGCTTTGTTGTACTGCCTACAAAGTTCAACAACACGTGTACCGTTCTCATGCTTTCGAATGATCTCTTGTTTCTCCTCTATTGTCGTCCTCACATGAGCTTTCTGGCCTTTATCCTTACCACTGGCTTTCTTGGGACCCATGGTGAGATATATAATAACAAATTGTATAGACAAATCACCAAAAATCCAACAAAACACTGAAAATCCGCGAGAAGAATTGATGTGGGGGTAGTCACTGAGCGCGAGACAATAATAAACTGAGGGGCGGCGGGGTGACGATCGCCGAACCACCACGCGCTAGGTCGGCTGTACGCGTATCAACAAACTCGCCTCCCGAAGTAACCATCGCCTTCCGAGACAAATTTTTGGAGTAAATACACCTCGCCTTCCGAAAACCTCGCATACAGGGACAATCGCATTCCGAGGTACCACTGTAGTTTTCTCTTGCAGATGTCCACGGTTGTTCCCACCATATATCTTATGCTCGCTGGGAGGACGTTGAACAACCGCGGACCTCTGATGTTGATACAGTGTTCTCTGATTGTGCCTATGGCACCTCTGCTCTTCACTGGGTCTATTCAGCATTTTCTTCCATATCGTTCACTCCAGTACGTTGTTATTTTTACTGTGTAGATTTGGGACCTGACCCTCCAGTATTTTCCCCGTATATATTATTTGATATCTCTCTCGTCTCCATTCTAGCGAGTACATTTGGAGAGCTTCAAGACGATCCCAACAATTTAGGTGCTTTATCTCATCTATGTTTTTGTATTACTTTTATTTCAGCAATCTCTCCTGCTCTGAAGGGGGAACCGAGTACTGAGCAATACTCAAGCTGAGACAGCACAAGTGATTTGAAGAGTACAACCATTGTGATGGGATTTGAATGTTCTCGTAATCCATCCCATTATTTTTCTGGCTGACGCAATATTTGCTTGGTTATGCTACCTAAACGTTAGGTCGTCAGACCATTATTCCCAAATCCTTTTCATGCTGTTTTCATACTATGGGCAGATTTGATTATGTTTTGTACCCTGTATTATGTTTAAGGTCCTTATTTTTGGCCATACCCGAGTACCTGTGGCCAGATTAAAAAATCAGTTATGCAAGTACTTGAACGTGTACATCTTTTCTCAATTTTTGACGGCTTTGGTTACATTTATTAAACGGTTTACAAGCATGAAAACTTCCTAATCAACCGTTATTGTTATGAACAGCTTCCTGGGGCTTCGGAGCTCATTAATTGTTTACTAATTGTAAACAAAGCCGCCAAAGATCGAGGAGAGATGTACAGGTTCGCAAGTGCTTGCGTAACAGCTTCGTGAATCTGGCCCCTGGAATTTATCACTGTTAAATATGTTATTGTCGAAAACTATATAAATATCCGCTTGTGGTTTTAAATGTCTTCAACAAAAGGTAATTTTCATGCTGATTTTTGTGTCATCTGCAAATGATGATACCAAGCTGTGACTTGTATTTGAGTCTATATCTGATATGAGAATAAGGAAAATCAGTGGTGCAAGGACTGTATCCTGAAGTATAGAGCTTTTAACTGGGTTTGGACTATTTTATATGGTTGACTGTTACTCTGTGTTCTGTTCGACAGAAAACCCGAGTATTCAGCGTCCTACTTTACCAGTTATTCCCATTGACCTCATTTTGTGTGCTATCACTCCATGGTCACATTTATTGAATGCTTTTGCAAAGTCTGTGTATACCATATCTTCATTTTGTTTTTCTTCTAATGCCTCTGTGATTTTGTCGTCCTCCAAAGGAAACCTGATCAACTGGGTTGTGATTCAAAGATCAGACTGCAAGCAGTAGCATCTAACAGCCTGGTTGACCAGACCACAAACCAAAAGGCCTGGTCAGAGCCTGGGCCACAGGGATAGATTCTTGGAACCAATGGAATGTAGACAAAAGATATGTAGATAGACTAATTCTCCCAGGTCATCCTAGGAGAATTAAATTCCATGGCATTGCTCCAAATGATTTTCTCACACATTACATAAATACTGTATGCATGAACACATTCATACATAATACTGGCAATGTGTTTTAATCGTTATACTATACAACTACTGTACTAGTCTAAAAATACCAAAATGCAGATATTATGAACATCTTTTATTATATATGAGAAGCTCTTCCTGTATTGATGGGGTTCACTATTAGGTACTTGGCTAGTTATTACAGAACTAAGCAAATGCTAAGCAATTTAGCAAAGCAAATTTAGCTAAGCAATTTACCCAAGCAAATGCTTTTAGCTTAACTAAAAAATGTGAAGTTTAAATATTCCACTTTTATTAAATGTATTGAAAACAGGTTTAAATGAACCCATTTTTCTATTAAAGGGCTTCAGGTACCTTTATGCTGATGTTGGACTCTGGGAGCACATTTAAATGATACATCTATGCATGTACAAACAAGGACCCACATATACAGTACATGCAAATTCCCAGATGTATGCATACAGTACATGTAAAATCACCTTAAACTGTGGATGTAGGTAAATCAGATTTATCATTAACACAAGATTTTATAACTAAACCAATTTCATCATAAAACTCACATAATTTTTGGCAACAATCTCTCTCTGCCGCTGAAGCAACGTGTCCATAACATACACAACACCCGGTGGGTCAACACATTCCCTGTTCCCCCGAGCCTCCGACATCTTCCAAGCTATCGAAGATGACCGCGTAATGATCTACTGGAGAAATGAAAAATATGGCAAAATACAGTACAGTGGAAAGGCAATTTTGTAGCTTCTTAGTTAATGTTTTGTTTAACACTTTAATAATCAGGATTATCATTGATAAGGTAATTATGATAAAGTGCTAAGCCATTAGAAACAGGGTTGCTGAATTATGGAAGAAATTACCAGGTAAAATAACCAATATAGGATGCTGGATTGTTTCAAGTGTAGGTTTAGACATATAATTAATAATAACACAGGTCAAGGTACTATAATAATTCAGGGTGCAGTATATGAATGAGTTTTGGTGGATATACTGTACTGAAATAGGAGCAGTCTTCTATTTAAAATAGGGAAGGCTAACTAGGGAAAGTTAGTACAGTAGTTGGCATAAGGGGACAACCTCAATCCACACAAGTTTCCCCATTTCCAACAATGGGAATTATCTAATGATTGAGGTGGTGTTATGCCAAGTTCCTGCCAGTTTTCCAATTTGCTCCTTTCTAAAAATACCCCAACATGACCATTTTTGAAAAGTCCGACTAAATGGTAGGGTTAACTTCACTTCATGCTGATTAAAGATATACTGTACTGGATACAGGCCCATGGGGTATTTATTGCAGAGCACCTCATACCAGAGACTGAAACAAGATTATACTAGTATAAATACACACAAATGGATGTAGTAGTTTAAGCTATTCTCACCCCGTTCAATACGTGTTTATACGATATATACACATCACACTCGCCTAACAAACCCACCTAATGATATATTTGATTTAAAAAACTTAAAGCACACTTAATTATACCCCATGAATAATTTGTCTATCATGGGCTATTTGAATATTTGGGTACAAGTCCACATATCCAACATTTCCACAATCATTATGTTAGGGTTCATTAAGATTGTCTAATTATACCCAGAAAAGTATTAAAACTTTTTTAAAAGACATACATAATGTAATTACAAAAGCATGATGTATGAGAAAATACTGAGGCCATATGATGGTATTGCATGTGCCTGAAGAGTACAGGGATGCAGATACAATCCAATTGTACGGGCCTCAATATTTTATCACATTAAGGCAAGCTTGGCTAACTAAATTGGGCAATTCCGCATGATGGCAGCTACCTTAGAGTTACAGAAAAGCTGCATCAATTTAAATTTTGAGATATATACAAGAGTTGTTACAGTCTTGTACAGCCACTACTGTAGTACGCGTAGCGTTTCGGGCAGGTCCCTGGAATATGACCCCCACGAAGAATCGTTTTTACAACCAAGTACCCATTTTACTGTCGAGTTAAAGAGGCTACAGTTAAGGATTTGCGCCCAGTAAATCCTCCCCGGTCAGGATACGAACCCATGACAAAGTGCTCGCAGAACGCCAGGCGAGTGTCTTACCACTACACCACGGAGACTGGTGTAATGACAAATGACAATACAATGATGGCAGACAAGTCATAAATTGAAATGATGTAAGGGCATCAGGATGGTAACATCGAGTGTGACCAAATCATACACGCGCATTTTTGCAAAGTCTTCTCTAATTATCAAAACCATGTATGTACACAAGTATCGATGTATTAGCTTCAGTTAGGCTTTGTTAAGCATGCTTGGGTCAGATTGGGTAGGTTTTAAAATTATTTGGCAAACTCTTGTGTATGATGTGACTTGGATCCAATAACAGGTCAGTTTATTACACTTGAGGTTATCTCGAGTTTATTTCGGGGCTTTTTTTTTTTTTTTTTTTTTTTTTTTTTTTTTTTTAAGTGTCCCCGCGGTACTTGACCAGCCTCCACCCCCAGGAAGCAGCCCATGACAGCTGACTAACTCCCAGGTACCGATTTACTGCTAGGTAACAAGGGCATAGGGTGAAAAACTCTGCCCATCGTTTCTCGCTGGCGCCCGGGATCGAACCCGGGACCACAGGATCACAAGTCCAGTGTGCTGTCCGCCCGGCCGACCAGTGCAACTTCCATGGCTGTTCACCCAATTCATTGCACTCACCAACTCTTATCACATTATTAAATAAATTACTGTATGCATGCACTACATACAATAAAATACTTAGTTAAAATGATTTATTTAATTTGTATCTACAAAAATGGTGATACATGATCTATTTGAAGCATGTGCTTGTGAGGAGGGCGAGTTTCTCTTTGAAACTTATTAGCTAGTTTCTAGAGTGAAACTAGAAACTCTTTGACACTTTCTTGAAAGGTAGGTCAAGTTCTTTGATGCACAGTATAGGCCCACATATATTGCATGATTATGTGACCGCTACAAGTAAGGTAATTATCAGGAGAAAGCACTAAGCTATCATGACTGTATGGCACTGGGAAGGGGTAAGAGGATAAGGATTTAGGATAAGACAGAGGAAAGGAATGCTCAACCACTTTGAATGGTAGGGTGATTGAATGCCAACCTGCCAGAACTAAGACTGCCACTTTACCATTCAGTCCAATTAAGGGACCACTACAAATTTTTATTTCAAGACTAGATCATGATTTCTCAAGACTATCCTGTGTACGACCAGAAACCTATTGTTTATACAATTTTCTTAATATAAATACAGGTTCATTATTAATGTTTCATATAATGAACATAAGAACAAAGGCAACTGCAGAAGGCCTATTGCCCCATACAAGGCAGCTCCTATTTATAACCACCCAATCCCACTCATATACATGTTCAACCCGCGCTTGAAACAATCGAGGGACCCCACCTCCACCACGTTACGCGGTAATTGGTTCCACAAATCAACAACCTTAAATGTGATTTACTTCTCTAAACATTTTAACAATCGCCTGTAGTTTGTATTTATGATCTAAATGAAAATCTAACATTTGAAATATGACACAGTGGAGTACAGTATTAGTAAATAAATGTAATTTATGAATAATCACTAATACAGAGAGCATGATTATACAGCTTATCCAATACGGTTCAGGTACAGTGAATTCATATATACAGTACTGTACGTGCATCATGACAAAATTTCCAATTGTAAAAATCAATCATATACATTATAGTATCTTTTTATTGAGTATGTCAGATTATTGGCAAGCTGCTCTAGTGTGTAGATTTTAAGCCCAACCCATCTATCTTTACTCGATTTAACCCCAGTCCAATCAAACCTAAAACAACCGAGCCCAAGACAGTCTAAAGTAATAAATCCTAACCAATCAATATACATGGTTTCTGACCATCGGAAAATGTACTTTCCCGAAACACCCGTTAGGTAGGTTTTAAAATCTCATGGTGAAGGTCTCGGTGACAGTGTGGGGTCAAACTGCACACGAGACATTGTGCAAGAATGTAGAACGTGTACACAGTACACATTCAACAACGCTCATTTGCCAACTGCCAAAAGCACATTTATTTATATACAAGAAGGTACATTGGGGGGTTAAGAGAGTACATAGCAATGATGATTACACATTCTTGTAAAGCCATTAGCACGCATGGCGTTTCAGGTGGAAACACCACTAGGTCACGACATTTTAGTTCAGGTTGGGCTGTGTTGGGTTCGCTTGGGGTAGCATTGGTAAGGTTGTGTGCATTTTAAAGCCCATCTTGTAGACAGTCACGTACGTGTTGTACACTTGCATATACCTGCGTGTTAGTTGCTTTATTTAAAAAATTACATTAAATTATACATCTAATATTAGTAATTTTATTTATATAATCATTACTGTGAAGGGCGGGACCAGCCACTCGCAGGGCCCACGGACCACACAACCACTCGAGGGGCCCGGGACCACACAACCACTCGCAGGGCCCGGGACCACACAACCACTCGAGGGGCCCGGGACCACACAACCACTCGAGGGGCCCGGGACCACACAGCCACTCGAGGGGCCCGGGACCACACAGCCACTCGAGGGGCCCGGGACCACACAGCCACTCGAGGGGCCCGGGACCACACAGCCACTCGAGGGGCCCGGGACCACACAGCCACTACTAGTAACACACACACACACACACACACACACACACACACACACACACACACACACACACACACACACACACACACACACACACACACCACCAAGAACGTATGCACTAAAAGACTCTTACAGTTTTATATAAGGGACGGTCTTCGGTAGTACAGTCGGGTTCATTCTTGACGCACAAATCGAGAATTCCGGGTTCGAATCCGAGGCGGGACAGAAAAGGTTGGGCATATTTCCTTTCACCTAATGCACATGTTCACCTATTAGTTAATAGGTACCCAGGAGTGAGTCAGCTTGTAAGGTTGTATCCTGGGGGGATGGGAAGCCAGTAATTCGACCTTGGGGGGGGGGGAGGGGACCTCAATATAAGCCTAACATGTATGTATACAATCTGGCTTCCTGTCCCCCGACACAATGTATTATTATATGGATGTAACCAAGTTTTTTTTCACCCCAATTTACACGTGCCAGATAGCACGTAGGCCTACAGGATTTTGGGCAACATTTCCCTATAATTGTATTATACAGCCAAGACACTCGTATATAGGCTGTATTAGGCACATACTAACACAGCTATAACTAATATACTCTACGTATATACTTTATTATACCTAGTATGTGTAGATTTTATACGTGGCAGGGAAGTATCTATAGTAACAATAGCATAAACAGTATCTACAAGGTGTGTCGTGGTGACACGTGTGCTCCCTGACACACACACACACAGAGGCTCACATGCCGACACAACGCCAGAACCAACAGCTTACCAAGCCCAGGCGACACAGGAGGGAGGCCACAGGACCTACACGACCTGTACGTGTGTACGCTCCACCTCCGCCAGGGCGACTGACTCTACCGTCCAAAATCCTCCCTGGAATAAACTCCATGACGTCACAGATACGTCACACCTCGCATGATATACAATAAGATAATACGCACATTTTACGTTATTTTCGTTATGTTATGCTACGTTACCTTAAGATAAGTTGAATTACTATAGGGTAAATTACGATATGCCAGGTTTAGTAAGTTTTAATCGCAGCGATGACGTTAGACATTTAGTTTTGGGACACTTTTTGGACCATTGATAGAGGCTTTGCGCAGTAATAGCGAACGAATTTCTTCTATATTTCGTGATCGATCACAACACAAATTTGGTACCTTATAGAAAATATATATCTATACTACACCATGTATTCACACACTGTAATTATTGCCAGTGTTGGGGGGACAGGAATCTTCTTGTTAGGCATATCCAGCCCCCCGCCACCCCATAGGCCTATACCATCCACGTTAATGGCTCAGTTTGGAGCGGTCAGTAGAATTACCCAAAGCCTTTATAACATGCTACCCCAAACGATATATGATATATTTACTCACGATAATGTTGGAAGGTTATGAAGTCACCACAATGAATTACTGAAGGCTTATCCCGTCGTCTCCGCTATTACGTTTCAATTTTAACGTTAACGCAGAAAACCGTTACAAATAATTTATTGTGTCGGGGGACAGGCAGCCTATATACACGTTAGGCTTATATCGAGGTCACCTTTTCCTCCCCAAGGCTGAATTGCTGACCCCGCCCAGGATGCAACCCACAAAATGCTGACTAACTCCTTGCAACTTTTTTGTGAGATATATACAAGAGTTGTTACAAATTTAAATGTTGCCCCAAGGGGCGAGTTTATTGGGCAGCGCCACTCATCTTGTGAGTGGACACACCGCCATAGCAGCATGTACAACACTCCCCAATAGGAAGAAAACCCGCTGGGTTGTTCATTCTTGTAGAGCCACTAGTACGCGTAGCGTTTCGGGCAGGTCCCTGAAATACGATCCCCGCCGCGAAGAATCGTTGTTACAACCAAGTACACATTTTACTGTTGCGTTAAACAGAGGCTACAGTTAAGGATTTGCGCCCAGTAAATCCTCCCCGGCCAGGATACGAACCCATGACAAAGCGCTCGCGGAACGCCAGGCGAGTGTCTTACCACTACACCACGGAGACGTAAAAATCTCTGAACTAGGTGAGTACTAACTCCTGGGTACCTGCTTACTGCTTGGTGGACAGAGGCCTGTTCACTAAGCAGTAAATGTGCCCACGGGCACATTTCCACCATAGGAAATGCGCCCAATCGTTCAAGTACGTTTATTGAGACAATAAAATACATCTCAATGGGATGGAGTACTCCTTACACACACACACACTTCCACATCCGGTCCACAACAGCAATCCTGAGTAACTTCACAAGACATCCATCGCCACTGCGACCCGTTGAGAGAGTTTTAACAACGACAATTCACATTCAAATTCAAATTCAATGCGCCGCAAACGCCTAAAAGTCAAGACTCGTCCCATGTGCGGCCGTTTATTTATTTATTCATTTATTAAAAAAAAAACTAAAAGGGGTACCACCTCTGGTGCAAGTGTAGGGACCCATAGCCTCGGAGAAGAAAATTAAGAGTACTCAGAGAAGAGCTTGTGGATCCTCACTGAACACTTTGATATTTTCTTCTCCTACTACCCCTATTATTTTGTGTGTGTGTATATATATTGTGACGATAATCTCTTTCAAGAGAGATTGAGCCTGCTCTTCCCTACACATTTACGTCTTTCAAGTACAAGATATTATATTGAATATACGTCCACTAGTATCGCCAAACGTTTTGCCCAGGAAGCAAAGCGTACCAAGCACAACCCGACACACCGGCTACCGCCCGGCGTCAACCAGCAAACTACTGATTCTCCGCCTGCCTGTTGCTGATTGGCTGGTGTGTCGTCGCACCTGCACTCACGCCACCACACGAGTCGACGTCTGAGCCAGCAGCACGCCGACTCCTCAGAATATCTCTGTGCTCCTTGGAGTTGACATCTCTCTATTAGTAGACTAAGCCCTGGTTGTCGTGTACTAAGGGAGGTGGCAGCTTGAAGCCAGTATTCTCAGCACCTGCTTTGGTTTTTAACTTGCACTTACTTGTCTTAGAGTAACTTTTCATTGCCAGTTATTATTCATGTTGTTTTGTTTGTTGACTTGTTTTGAATTTTACGAGATTGTCTTTATTCATATCTTGTTTTCTAGAGTAATTAAAATTTCATTGTTTATACTTTGTGTTTTGTGTGTCTTCCCATTACCTTACCACAGACAAAAGGACAATCTTCTCTTTTTTTTTGTTGTGACGAGGCCCTGCCCCCAGCTTTTGAAACAGCCGAACACCAACGCTTTACCGTCACAATATATATATCTAACTTTATTTTAAAATTTCATTACACAAAAAGGGTTACAACATTGGTTACATGGAGGGTACAGGGCTACTTGTCACATGTTGTAGAGCTCCTCCAGCTCCTCAGATGGCGGGCAGGAACCATGGATGCAGTGAGCTTAGGTACATATATTGGGGCATTGGGTAGCACTAGATACAGTGCGAGTATAAAGCACTTGGTAGGAAACTATGAAGATGAAATTAGGTACTTTTTGGTTTTATTTTTGAATAAGGCAAAAGTTGGACAGCTTTTCAATTCGTTAGGGAGTGAGTTCCATAGACTAGGTCTTTTAATCTGCATAGAGTGTTTACACAGATTAAGTTTGACTCTGGGGATATCAAAGAGATATTTATTTCTGGTGTGGTGATTATGGGTCCTATTACATCTGTCCAGGGAGAGTTTCAGACGGGGACGCTAAGCCCCGAAATCATCTCAAGATAAACTCAAGATAAGATAGCTGCTTGAAAGATAAGTGTTAACATCTGAGTCTGTGGGATTTTTTTCTAGCAAGGTTAGCACCAACCGATGAAAAGAAGCCATTAAATTCAGTTGCCGTTTCAAGATCTGTTGCAGGTGCATCATACCTGATCAACCAGGCTGTGACTCATACGTCAGGCTGCGAGCAGCCGCGTCTAACAGCCTGGTTGATCAGTCCAGCAACCAGGAGGCCTGGTCGACGACCGGGCCGCGGGGACACTAAGCCCCGGAAGCACCTCAAGGTAACCTCAAGGTAGGTGTATAGCCGCCCTTGGAGAGTTTTATTTATTTATTTATTTATTTATTTATTTATATACAAGAAGGTACATTGGGTTTGTGAGAATACATAGCATAGTACAGTAATTGCACTCTTGTAAAGCCACTAGTACGCGCAGCGTTTCGGGCAGACTGGTTATCTGGTTATGTGAGTGTTGTTGAGTTCCTAGGATGTTAGAGATGTCTCTCCATGTGAATTTCGCGTTGCTTTTTGCTTCTCTGAATCTACTCTCATAATAAGAAAATTTTGCTTTTTGTATTATACTGGTAAGCCTTGATGAGTACCTCTTAACTACTTACTTTGTTACTAGGCCAATCCTAAGTTTTTTTTTTTTCATATTCATGTTTCGTGTTGATTGCTTTGAATATGTCACTTGTGAACCAGGGATTGTTTAATCTTTTGTCAGTTACTTGCTTGGTGTGGAGAGGACAGTGAGTGTTGTACAGCCGTAGGTCTGCTTTCACCAAAAGCGACGTCTTGAACACCCTAAAAGAAGGTGCCGGCATTACACCCATAGATCTTGGCCAATAAAAAAAGTAGGTGCATTAAAGTAAATTTAAGGGTGATCCACAGGTACATTTTAGCATAATTTGAAGATTATTGCAAGATATAATGCAGCAAACCATGTATACAACATGATACAAGATAGCAGCAATGATTAAAATGGTAAAGTTGCATGGCATAGGTACTTATATTGGGGAATTGGGTAGCACTACAATTGGGTAGCTTTAGGAATTGGGTAGCATTAGGCTCCAAGCTGAATCCAATAAAGCCAAACCTTTTACTTCCGCCGCCGGAGCCACCAGCACCAAACCCACCACCTCAGCTCCCACCAACCTACCAGAAGACTTTCCAGTCCTACCAAACAGTGGCTCCTCCCAACAGGCCACCCGGCCTCCACAATGGGGACCTAAGAACCAGCCAGTCCCTTGCATCACGTGCAGGCATTATCCCTGGTCATATTCAACTAGCAGAGAGGCTTGCCGGACCACACAGATTGATTGATTGATAAAGATTAAGCCACCCAAGAGGTGGCACGGGCATGAATAGCCCGTAAGTGGTACAATTTTTTTTGTCTCAGTATTCTGAGGTTGCATTTAACCATCAAGCTGTTATCGCGGGGGAGGATACTGCTTCACAGTCTTTATGAGGGTGTCCAGCTGCTGGACACCTTTGTTGACCAGGAGAGTGGCTGTGTTGATGGCTTCAGGGTGGCCACTGCATGATTCAGGAACTCTTAAAGCTCTTCTAAGGTCATTGGTTGCTTCACATTCCAGTAGATAGTGAACTAACGACTTTTCTGTGACAGTTTGGCAGAAGATGCACTCTCTCTGTCAGGGTTCACCAATCTCCCAGTTGCATCTGTAACCTAGACGTAGTCTATATAACCTAACTGCTATTTCCCTCTGGATTCCTTTTGGGATATTTAACCTTTCTAATTTGGTAGCCTGAAGATACCATGTTGCAGATGGTGAACCTTCAGCTATTCTCTGGTGCAGGTCGGCTTTGTTGAGATGTGAGAGTTTTTTGGTGATGATGTTTTTTATGTTCTCTAGGCTGGGTTGAATTGTTTTATGTATCACTGGATGACGAGTTGCCAATTTAGCAATTTCATCAGCTTTTTCATTTAATGGGATTCCAATATGGGATGGGATCCAGTTTAAGGTTATGTTGAGTCCTTTGCCTTTAGCGACTGCTCCAAGATACAAAATGGTGGTAATTATTTCCACATTATCTTTCCACTGTTTTTGTCCTAGTATTTGAAGTGCAGCTTTTGAGTCTGTGTGTATGATTGCATTTTGAGTGTTTTGTGCAATCACATATGCGAATGCCTGTTGTATGGTGTTACGAACCCGGATCCAGCGTCCGAGCCTGGAGCAGTGACAACCAC